CTTGAGATCTGAAGAAGGTTTCATGTAGCAATGAAATTGGGCAGAACTGGACAAATGACACATCCTAACAGGGCTGAGAATCTGAGCAAATGGTGGATGGGGGTTGATGTGGATGATGGAGTGCAGAAGCTGGGCTATGGTGAAGTCCTAGATGTTTCTACCTGCTATGCTGTACCCCTGAAAGGAGCTGAGGGAGGAATTTGTACTTGTCAGCGTTCTCTTCTACACTCATGTCTGAACTTATCTGCTGAAAGTGACCCTGCATCCCCTTTGTCCCTTGTGGGTGAGATATACAGTGTTGCATTCCACTGAGTGGGACCAGTGAAATGTTGCAGTATCATGAGCTTGTGGGTATTGAACAACAATGGAAGGGCATTTATGTGAAGAGGTAGAGATGGAGCTGAGTAGGGAAACCTACTCAGATCACTGGACAGTTTCTACTGGACACCATAATTTTGTAGCTCAGTGGTACGATTCTGCAGTGGCCTGGATGTTGCTTGTTAGCATAAAGGTAGCAGGTAAGAGGACAAGAGTTGAATGGGTCTGGAGTGCGACTCTGCAATCGTATGTCACAAATGGTCAGTGGGACAAGGGTGCCTGGAATATTGACAAGCTTGAGACTGAGGTGCTGGCTCTGGGAGCCTGAGCAGCACTGGGATGGGAATAGAAGCAGAAGTAAAGACAGCAGGGGAGGAGATATTATGGGGATACTCAGGCTGGGGGAACCCCATGGTGAAGAAAGGTAAGTTCACTGGGAGCTGGTGAGTAATCTTGGAAGGATGGCAAGTTGTGATTGGTGAGTAGGAACGTTTTCAATAAGAAATTCTTCAACCTTTTAAATACATAAATGTGTTTATTTATTTGAAAGGCAGAGTTAGAGAGGAGAGAGGGAGAGTAAAAGAGAACAAGGGGGGATAAAGATGGAGGGACAATGAGGCAGGGGGTAGATAGAGGGAGAGGGAAGGAGAGAGAGAGATATGAACTTCAATAACCATCCACTGGTCCACTCTCCAGATGGTAGCCACAGCCAGGGCTGAGCCGAGATGTTGTCAGGAGCTAGGAGCTGCTTCCAGATCTCCATGTGGGTGCAGAGGTCCAAATAGTTTTCCTGTCTTCCGCTGCTTTTGTTTAGGCTATTAGCAGGGAGCTGGGTGGGAAGTGGAGCAGTTGGGACACAATGCAGCACCCATGTGAGATGACCTGCTATGCTGGCTCAGGGAGTGGGATCTTTGCATTAATAATTTCAGAAGTTTTGAGAAATAAGAAGGCAGGATGTGACCTCGGAAGAGTGTTATCGGCTCTTGTCATCAGTGGAACCCTGTCTTTGATCCAGGGTTCACAGGGCTTTTCTGCTTCCTTTCGGCATCTGGCGGGCCCGCCTCTTGCAGCTCCCTTTTCTACTGTCCAGTGGGAGCCACTCAGCCTGTCGTCCTACTTCTGGAGAAATCTGTTCCACATGTGTCTGATTCATCTTGCGTTTACAGAAACATGAGATCTCCAGTGTCTAAAACCCCCTTTCAACTATTTTTTTCTTCACTTTCTTAGAAACAGGAAGTGGTGTTTGGCGGAGGATGAACTCCTCTCAGTGCCTACCCGTTGTTTGGAGGGAGCACTGGGAAGGTCTGTGGAGGGTTTCTCCACATTCTCCTTTCCTGGGGTAGTCGTGCACCTGCCAGCAGCAGGCTGGGCAGCTCCCAGGGAGGACTAGCCAGACCATTCCTGCCTCTCCAAGGCCCAAGAGAAGGAATGTTATGACAGAAACAGGTGGCTTGCACTCTCCCTACCTTCACATCCCAGCTCTAAATTCCCACATCCCACTGTATTGGTGCATTGGGTGTCAGGTTGCTTCTAAGTTCTTGTGCATTGACTTTGTGGAGGCCCCTTTTTGTTCTTGCTTGTTGGGGTGTTGGGGAGGGACAGGGAGTTGGGTGTGGATTGACTGGCACTGAATTTTAAGCAAGGCCAGCTAGTTCCTAAGTGGGATGTTGGAGAAGCTCCACATTTAAAGAGAATGGGCCATGTTATAAAGGGACACACTATTATGTTTTTGAAAGGGTGATCTAAAAAACAGACAGGGGCTCAAGAAGGGCTGTCATGGGGTGGGCCAAGCATAGGACTTGCACCCCAACCATTCTGCTGCCTTGGGGGCAGAGACTTGTGTTTCCAAGTCAGAGAAAATTCATATTATTTTTTAAATTCAGTGTTCCCACATACTTCCTGAAATTCCCTTGTGTTTGGTCTCTTAACGATTGCCTAGAGAGGGCCAGCAGAAAAGTCAGCTTGGATGGGTAATGTCTCTCTCACACACATTCCACATGCAGCTTTCACAGTGTGGAAAGCTCAACTCAAGCAATGCAGGACCACACGCCCTGCTAGAAGAGCACGCTCCTCGGGAAGACACACTGTGCTTGGTCACAGGCCGCCAAGGGATGGCAGCTCTTGCTTCTCTTTCTCAGGGGCAGGAATGTAGTTGTGCTTCTGCATTCCTCTCTTCTCTGTTGTAGCACCCACGGACAGTGCCTGCTCAGGGCCAAGGTGTGGCTGACCATCTAATCAGTGCTGGAATGAAGTGGCAGCTGCTGGCAAAACGATGCTACTTTGACTTGAGGGCTTCCTTCCCTAAAGTGACAAAAACTTTGGTTGGCTAATGGGGACTGCAGGGCAGAGAATGAACTCCAGACAAGGGTTCACTTCTCTTAAAGATGTAGGCTTGGAAATGAACGTTGATGCTAATAAACTACCTTTGTAAAATTGCTGGCAGGTGCTTCGAGGAGCCAGAGGCAGGAGCAAGTTACTTGCTGAGTCAGGGCCTCCCTTTAGAAGACACCAGCACCGGTCTCCATCGGAAACACCAGTTGGTACTTGTGAACTCTCAGAGGCAGAAAACAGAATCTTGGTTTCCTTGGTCTAAAAGGGTGGTCCTGGTTGTCTGGAATAAAGAATGGTGTGGTCTCCCTTTCAGATCTGTTTTCTGAGTCCCTGAACTGCAGCTGTTGAATTTCCAGACACAAACAAGTATGTATTCTGTGAGCCTTGCCGAGCCCACACAGCAAGGGAGAGCCAAGCTGGATTCCATTCTGCTTTGCACATCGGCAGCTCTGCTGCCAGCTGAGCTCCAGGACGAGAACTGTGCCGGCTCACGATGCAGTTAGTGGGATGGCATAGCTGGCCTGGTCTGGTCCGGCCAGTTAAGAGGGGCACACACTTGGCCTTGATCTCTTGGGGGGAGTAGATGAGAAACACAAGGAGACCAAGATGTAGGAATATATGTCAGCCCCAAGAAAACTGATGCACAGCAAGGAAAAATCTGTTTTCACCAGTCAACAACAACATGCTTGTATGTGTGAGTGCTTGTTTATGTGTAGGTAAACTCAGCCTCCCACTTTCTGAAAAGAGTAGGCAGATGGCAAAAGTAGCCAAGTCAACTGCCACTGTGAAGAGGTAGCTCCAGGGGACTGGAATCCCACTGCCTTGCTTTGTGCCCCAAGGGTCTGAGTCCTCACTCACACCAGGACTCTCACAAATGTAGGTATCCTCCCATTTTTTTTCCATATTGCCATTTATTGATATCAGTTATTTCTTCCCACTCACTTGGTCTCAAGAACCGAGTTCTGAGCTCTGTCTACAACAAACTAAATGGAAGACAGAGCCAGAGGACGTTCCTCTGAGCCATGGGAGAGGATTTTGGAGGTGCTCAGGTAGATGTCAAGGGCCTGGCAGGGGAGACCATGTTGGGTCAAAGGGCTCATTGTGACAGCCGAAGTTATCTTGGGACAAAAGAGCACCCAAAAGTGTGGGTACAATCTAGTTGTCGGCTGGGGTGGAGAGCAGGTGCTGAGATCATGGGGATGATGTCATTTAGATTCAGATTGAGATGTGTCAGATCTTGAGAGCACCTGGCACCTGGCTAAAATGAAGCAAGGCAGGTCAGCATCTATCAGCCATGATGGAGCAGCTCACAGAATGGAAGAGGCATTAGGTTACCATGGTGACCTCCCAGTTGGAAGTTTCTTTTAGCACGCTGGTTCTCCAAGCATGGTCTTCCCACTGTATCCCCAGGAATGTACTAGAACCATGCCTTCTCTGGCCTCCCTCCAGCCTGCAGGGTCTGGAGCTCCTCCAGGATTTGTCTCTAGATAACCCTGATGGCCACAATGGCTTCAGAGCCACCAGCCTAGGGCATGTAAGCGAGAGCCAACCTGAGTGAGCTGGGACACAGCAGGCTTGTGAAAGCCCAATGTGGCTGCCTGATGGACTCAGTGGGCAGGCTGGTGATGCTCAGGCTCTCAGCTGCCCTGTGAGGGCTCAGGGTGAGCAGACCTGGACCCCCATGCCAGGGGGTCTCCTGCCTTGCCTACATAATGAACTAGACCAGACCACTCCATTGGCACAAGGTCACTTTTTAGTTCAGGGACACATTTGCATAAATACTTGAATTGGATCCATCCCTGCAGGTGGCAGTCTGAGAACATGTGGCTCTCCACAGCCCTGTGACTCTGGGCCATTCAGATGATAGATTTTAATCCTGAAGACAATCATGGTCATTTCTGAAGATAGTTCAGGGTGTGGCCATGGCGCTTGTTGGGACATCGGCCACTGACTCCCTGGCTCCACACCTCTCTTGGAATTATTTTCCCCCCATCTGAGGTAGATTATTTATCGGGGAAACCAAACAGAAAATTTTTTGTTTCAATTTAACTTGGCAAGTCCTTTGCAAACAGGCTGACCCCGAGTTTCCTGCTTGGGCCAATATGTGCCCTTTTACATTTTAATCTATGCCTGCTACTTGAACCTGAGCAAGATCCGATCAACTAGACAGTTGGCTTTAGGATCTGTCTCCCTCAAGCCCTCTTCTCCTCCCATTTTTAAATTCAGGCAGTACCCAAGGTGCTGTGGCAATGGGTGACCTGAGTAGGCTATGTCACCTCCATTCCAGGGTCATCATGGCAAGGGCTCTTGTCTGCATACCCCAGCATCCCACAACTAGAGCAAAAGACTGGTCACAGAGGGCACGGCTGGCTTCCACAGGGCTTGGCATCTTCAGGTTTCAGATCCTTGTCACAGGTGGTGGAGGCCTGGCCAGAGGGGTCCCTACATTCCACAGTTCGCCGCTGCCAGCCAGCACCGCAGGTGGCAGAACACTGGGACCAGTCTCCTAATACCCACTGTGTGTGCAGCAGTGGCTGGATGATGTTGATGGTTGCTCTCTCTTTGCTGTTCTGGAGGCTGAAGTCCATGTCATTAGGAACAAAGAAGGTGTATTTGACTTTAGGGGGAAAGACCTCCCCGGGGACTGTCAACAGCTGCACGGTCAGAGGCTCAGGTAGGGGCCGGAAGCTCTGCAGCCGCTCAAGGGTAGCAATGGAGCCACTGTACTTGAGGATGGTCCCCTTCACCAAGATGTCCTGCTCGATGGCAGAGATGGCCAGATTGCCATTGAGCAGGTACCGCCCGTCAGCTGTCTTCAGGGCCAGGTAGTTGCCATCATTCTGTACTCCTGGGTGGCTTCTTTGTTTCACATCAATGTTTGTGGCACCAGCTGGGATGGTGACAATGTCATTGTAGCCATAACTATTATAGGGAGAGAAAGATGCAGTTAGGACTGGTGGCTAGGTAGTTGGGGGGATCCAGGGTTACATCTCCAATGACTTGGGGTGGTGTGGGGGAAGGAGACAGTCAAAAACAACTTGGGAAGACTGAAGCTGCTGCACCACATTCTAAACTCAGCTCCTCAGGCCCAGAGGAATGTCTCCAAAGTTGGAATTCTCAAGGGTCATGGCTTCATCTGCCAACTTTATTTTACATGTTTGGGTTGGGGAGCTTATGCAGATGGTGACAATCGCAGGGGAGGAGGACAGCCCAGAGGGGTGTGAATGCTGCACTGCTCAGTCAAGCCTGGCACTTCCTGGCTCAGGTGAGCTTTCTGCACACTCACTTCTCTGCACGGACGTACAACGACATATTGTGCTGTGAGTTGAAAGACACCAGTTGAGACGCATACACCCCGTATTCGAGTGCCTGGGTTTTAGATCTGCCTGCAGCCCCTTAGCTTCCTGCTGATGCAGATCCTGAGAAGTAGTGGTGATGGCTCCGGTGATTGGGTTCCTATGATCCACATGGAAGCCTGGCTCTTGGCTTTGGCTCCAGCCTAGTCCTGGCCATTGTAGACATTTGGGAAGTGAATCAACAGCTGAGCTCTCTCTTTTTCTGTTTTGTCTGTCTTGGTTTCTCTGCCTCTCAAACAAATAAATGAAGAATTATTATTATTATTATTATTTTTTAAGATCCAACTATGTGTGCCCACCTCCACACCCAGAGCTCAAACTCACAGGAGAAAAATCTGGTCCACACATCCTGTCCAGAACCCATCCAGGTTGGAAATCTCACACTACATCTTTGAGACAATCAGCTCTTAGTGTTGGCTAACTGGTCCTAAGCCACAGTGCAGGGAAGTGGGTAACTAAAGCACAATTCTTTGGGGCCACCTTATGGGTGTAGTCACACATTGTGAGCACCCTTCTTCTACAGGGACCCGAGGCTGTTAGGGGAAATGTTTCAAGTTCTTTGTAGGCATGAGGCTGTCAATGGAATGGAGAAAGTTTAATTCTTTGTTCTTTTCTGGTCACCTGGGTTACAAAGGCTTGGGAGAATTTTTTTTTTTTTTCTATTCTTGCTGTACCTCCAGCAGGCCTAGCTGCTTGGTCCAGGACTTTGAAAGCATTCGCAGGCTCATGTAATTAGTGCCTTAGGGAAATCAGCTAAGAGACTCAGTATCTGGATCCCCTGTGCTTGCCTTTTCTGTATCCTTTGACTATGAATCTGAAAAGTCTGCTAAGTTGTCTGCTAGAGGATAATACTGTTCTCTGAGCTTTGTGGGATAAGACAGTGAGAGAGAGGAGAGAGAGAGTAGGAGAATGAAGAGTGAGAAAGAAACAGGAGGGGGGCACATTCCATGGGGTAGAATCCTACACAGGGAACATTTTCCAGAAACTGAGGGTGAAGCGCTGGGAGGGGAGTGCATGCTCAGGTGGCTGCCAGAAGGGGAAACACCTGCACAAATGGCAGAGTGGTAGAGGGGTGAATGAGGGGGCATGTGAAACCCTTCACCTTGCCCTTAATCTCCAGGAAGTTCACAGAAGAACAGGGGAAAAAAACTGGTCCAGGACATGAGAGACCGAGAGACCTGGGTTTTCTTGATCTCCATGAATGGTCAGTGTCACCTTGAAAGAGTGTGTCTTGTTGTGCCTTAGTTGCTTCAAGTGTAACAGGGAGGAAACAGCGTTGGTCTTGCCCACCCCACAGACTGATTTAGGAATTGGATGAGACCAGGGAAGTGAAAGCCCTTTGGAAAATCTGAGGAGCTCTACGAATGTGGGGAATTAGGATGCCAGGAAAGTGCCTGGAGTCATGAAAGCACAGAGCCGCCAAGCCTCCCTGCCCCCATCTCTGCAGATCCATGCGCAGAAGGCTTGGCGTGGCCAGGCCCCGGGGCTGAGGGGATGTTCTCTGGCAAAGGTGCAGGTGACTCAGCGTGGCTCTCCTGCCAGCTGACTCAGATGCCCCTGACCAGGCTGCCTCTGGCCAGTTGCCCTTGGGACCCATCCTTACTAGGGGCTGCACTCTGGGCCAGGCTCTGCACGTTTCCCATCTCACAGTGGCTCTGAAACAGGCACAAGTGCTGACATCAGATGGAGACGCCGCCCAGCCTTCTCCGTAGCTGTCAAGTAGCCGCTGCTGTTCAAACCTGGGCCTACCACTGTTCGAAGCCCATTGTGTTCATTCTTTTCCACCCAGGAACCCAACCCCAGGGGGAATCCTCACCTGGAGGGGCTGAGGGAGCCGGAGACCTTCCTGCATGAGTTGCCTTTGCCCCCACACACCCCACATTTGTCCAGCTTCCTAGGCGAGTCCACCACGTGGTCACAGCCAGCTTTGACGCACTGGCCGCGCACGCAGATGGACAGTGTCTCTGGCCCACACAGAGTACCGTCGATCACCTGCAGCAAGAAAACGTGAGAGGCTGTGTTGAGCGCAACCGCTGCTTGCAGGTAGGGGAGGGACTGGTGAGCTGCCTCTCTCTCTGACACAGGATGGCTGGGTATGGATCCTTACCTTGGCCTCAAACACTTTGAATTCACTCCTGCCTCGGGCTCGGCAGAACAACTTGCAGCGGTCCCGGGGGGACACCCCTGCATACTTGGGGACCCACTGCAACAGGTTCCCTTCCAGGTCAGTGTAATTGTAGGCATTGTACTTCTCGCACTGCTGCTCCCGGAAGCTTTTCCCTACGAAGAATAAGGAGTAGGGTGGAGGTTAGCACACATGGGGAAGCAGAGGACTCCACAGGGAAATGTCCAGCTTCAGCACTTCTTTCTTCCTCCTGGATGGGGTCTCAAAGCCAAGGACAAGGTGTAGCATCACCTCGGTCCAGTGTTCCTGCATATGCCCTAACCCTTATTCAAAGAGGTAAGGGGGAGCCAGCCATCAGCCTCTTTCTGGGATTTCTGGGTTGAGTCCTATCCATTAGGGAATGGTGCCCATTCCATGTTATAGATGAACAGTTTTAGAAAGGGACATGGTACCTAAGCCAGCCTGGAGGGCACACAGTATTGCATGGGCCTCTGCTGGTCATGCTTTACTCTGACTTGCTCAGGGACACTGGACACAGGGCCAAAGATATCCCCCCTATATTTCTAGTTATGATCTTCCTCCTACACCTCACTTCCTGTAATCCTGGCTGACCACAGGGCAGCCACACTCTGTGTCCCATGACTCCCTCCAAGTCAGCAGGGTCAGCCCTATGTCCTTCCACTACATGGTGTAATTTTCATTTGGTGGCAGTTCTGTGCACCTGCCTGAGACTGGCATCTGATGTCTCTTGAGCATTTCAGCCTCTCCAGTCACTGTTTCTGATCTATCTCAGAAACACATACTGGAATCATCCCTCAGAATCTGCAAGGACTGGTCCAGAATCTGTGCAGACTCCCACATCCACAGAGGCTCCTGTGCCTTCTATAGCAGGGGCAGTATTTGCAGATACCCTAGACACATTCCCTCAGCCACATGAGATCACCTCTTGATGACTTCTGAGGCCTAATACAATGTAAATGGTATGTAAGTAGTTGCTCTCCTGGATTACTTAGTGGATAATTAAAAAAAGCAGCTGGAATATGCTCGGTCCAGATGCATGCTTTCCGGTGTATTTTCAATCTTGGGGTGGCTGACTCCTCAGTTGTGAACCTGTGGAAATTGGGGGGATGACTCCCTAATTGGGACCACGAAGAACTCAAAATGCTTATACCCCCTCTCACCATTGCAGGCCCAAACCTCATGGCATCCCAGGGGGCACCAAGCACCCCGCCTCATGCACGTGCCTGCCTCCTCTCCCCACTGGCTGCACACTGCTCCAGGTCAATCCATCTGAAATAAAATGTGGGTGTTTAGCCCTCTGTTCCTCCACCAACAACCCAGAAATCTGAGCTGATCTCTGTCCTCACTCCACACCTGAGAGTCTGTATCAGCCCGTAAGCGAGTTTGCTTTGCAGGTGCTCCCAGGCCATGCAGCAGGACATTAGGCATAAAGAAGCCACGATGTGGTTTCAGCCATTAAGGACCCCTGCAGTCCAGCCTCGGTGTGCTGGTTCATTCTGCTTGACCATCATGGAGCCAAGGAGCACCCTTTCCCATTGTCCCCCATCCTGGCATGTTCTCTCACACTTTGCTACTGTCTCTGTGCACCGGGTCCTGCTTTGCTCAGTTCTAATTTCCCTCAAAATTTCTGTCTCAACCATACTATTTTTCTCCCTGAACTCCTTACATACCCATGCCCTGTTCTTCCTGGGTTAAGCCTCAGTTGCCATGTACAAAGAGTTTGGGTCACTAGTTAGACTGTGAGCTCCATGGGGATGGATGCCATGTCTTGAGCACTTGACATGTTGTGGGTCATGTCTACAGCAATTCCAGACATGAAGTCTTTAATTGAAATGGCTGACCTGGTGCAACCAAAACCATGATGTCATCCATTGTCCTCGCCTGCCTCGTCTTCTGTCCAGTCTTCCTGCCCCCTTCCTGGCACTATGCCACTTTGTATGACAGGGAAACTCTCAGGAACCTTCTGGATCCTCGTGCCACCATCCTGCACAGCCTACAGATTCCTCCCTTCCCCCGACCCCCCAGACATCACACCCGTGTCAATGTTGTCTTCGCACTTGAATAAGCCTCTTCTCGTGCCTGCCAGTGTATCCTGGAGCTGCACAAAGGAAGCTGGCTAGGATGGTAGTGAAAGAAAACCTTCTAATGCTTCCCTGTCACAAGTCTGCTGCTGCCCTGACCACCTCCTGCTAGGTTTCCTAGCATGTACTAGGGCATCAGATTACTCAAAGTGATGCTGCGTAGTATTGTTTCCTGGGAAGCTTCTATGGGGCTGCTGTCATGATCCTCAGGCCAGATGATCGTGCACAGGAACCAGAGTCAGGAGCCCGCCCTCTGCCTGGGCTGAGTGCTGGCTGGAAAGACCTTGGAGGTCTGGCTCAGAGACGTGATTTGGAAAAACTTCTCTTCTGCGCAGGATGGGGTTCCCTCCCGCTGCCACCACATTGGCATCTTTGAGCTAGACCTGGGCAAAGGGCCCTTCCCCAGTAAGCTGGGAGCAAAACTCGCTGTCTCTGCTTCTTGGGGGACCAGGGTAATTTCTCCCCTTGACTGTTCATCTCTCCCCATGTAACAAGAGCTGTCCCGGGTCACAGAGGGTTGCCCCAGACTTGTAGAAGGCAGGGCTCACTGAGATCTGGCCCACTCTAAGAACTCTGCACCACAGGAGGCCTCCCTCCTCCTCCTCGGAGGGCCTGAGTGGCACTCACCATCTGGGGGGCACTCCTCTGTGTGGCACGATTGGTACCTGGTTCTCCGGCCCAGGCAGTATCTTCCTCCATTCTGAGGCTCAGGCTCTGTGCACTCACGGTGTGAAAACTGCACGCCTCCTCCGCATGTCCGAGAGCATTCTCCCCAAGGTCCCCATGGGGCCCAACCTCCGTCCACCGTGGCCTGCAACACACAGTGATACAGTGGCACAGGTATGAGACTTGTCGGTGCCAGCAGGAGGCTATGGTCCTGACTTCCTCACCTACTTATTCTCATCTTGGTTCATGGAGTTCCAAGAGTTCCTTATCATTGACTGACTTTGTGAGAGAGACAGAGGCTATGCAGGGATCCAAGGCAATGCCTTGTCCTCATTGGTGGGCTGCTTGGTGGATGAGTGGGCAAAACCCTTTGATAGGAATAGGACTGGTCTAACCCACTGGTTCTCTACTAAGGCTCATGCTCTTCTCCAGCAGACATACTGGTTGTCATAACTGAGTGCATGGAGCTACTGGCAACTACTGGGTAGACACCAGAAACGCTGCTCAGCACCCAACAAAGCACAGGCTATGGAACAAAGACTAATCCAAGTGTGGGAAGAGAATGAATGTGTAGAATGGGAGGTGAGCGAGCCTGAGTCCAGGAATTCTGTGCTAGCTCATGGCTTGGAACAGGAGTGTGCACCTGACCCGAGCCAGCCTGACCAGGCCCAAGCAAGCTCCCAAGACAGTACAAAAGACACACCATGAGGGCAGCCCCCTTTTGGTGTTTGCTGGGGCCAGCCTGGCAATTGAGTGTTGGGCTGGGACCAGGTTGTGAAACAGCATCTGCTGTTTCATAGCGAATGGCTCCATGACTTGCTGTCAGAGAAATGCGATCAGTCTTACAGTCTGGGTGTATTAAGAGCAGGGCAAAGCAGCAAATTGTTGAAAAACCCTTACTGGCAGGGCCTCAGGTTTTTCCTGCAAGTTTCCTCTGCCCTGGGCCAAGTTTTCTATGCCTGGTCCAAGGCAGCTCTGATTCTGCCTCCCCTTGGCCCACGGCAACAATTCTCACTCTCTGACCTCTGATTATGAATCAGCTAAACATGAATAGGGAGGTGGTGTGCCCTCCCAGCTGGGTGTGGGTGGGATCCTCCATGCCACCATCTCCACAGTGGATTCTTAACGGCTTCTATTTAGTGAAAGCTTGCCTACCTCTCGGTTGTGTCACCCCCCTTGCCAATCTACAGTGACCCTGAGTCAGTGTCAGCCTCAAGAGTGAGGGGCTCCCCAACACCTGTCCTTCCACTGGTTCTGAGTACAATCTCCTAGGGCTCCTCGCCTTGGAGATCAACATGCTAAGCCCGTTTGCCAAGAGCCCAGCCCATGCTGCAGCCCTGACCCAAACAACTTTCCCAGCTGCTGTCTCCTTCCTTGCCATGGAGCCCCCTCCCCTTCCTCCGTGGCTGTCACTCACCTTGGGCCACTCCACCTCCTCCTCAGGCAGACAGCGGCCATCCCAGCAGAGCCGCCCAGGCCCACAGGATGTGCCGTCAGCCCAGGGCAAGCTGCCGTTCTTGGTGTGGCACAGGGGCTCGGCACCGTCGGTGTGGCACCACAGCTGGGAGCAGATGTCCTGTGCAGAGGTGTTGGGGCAGTGGCGGAAGCCGGGCCCAAATATCTGCTTGCACTGTTGGTCCAGCTCATAGAGGGCACTGCGGCCTGGGAGGCCCGTGGGGAGGGGCAGGGCCGAGGTGGGGGCATCTAGGAGGCAGTCTCCTGAGAAAGGTTGGAAGCAAAGGAATTGGAACAAGAACAAGGAGCAGGAACTGTGATCTCCTCCTCTGTCTCTGGGGTCTTCCATGTCAGTTACCTTCAGATTCTGAACCACAGGATTTAAGTTCTGGGCATCACAGTGTCCTTGCTCTTGGGGTAAAACAGCCACAGTGACAGAGCTGCTCTAATTGGTGACTACAGTAGTCACAGTAACAGTTGTTTTTCCAGAATTGACTTCCTTTGCTATGCATGGCATGGACATCCAGGCTGATATTCTGTGTGCACCTGGTACAAGCCAGCCAATCGCAATAGCAATGCACATCCTGAGGGAACTGGGGATGGGAATGTCAAGTAGGTCTGCCTGTCCTCCTTGCTTTGCTTCTCACGTGTACCTGCCTCTTCAATGAGAAGAGTGTCGAATGCACTGCTTCCTTGCTCTACTCCACGATTCAAACACTTGGGACCAGGCACACACACCTCCCTCTCTGCTCTCACATGCCATACTGATTGTCTCCTAGCCATTTCTGAGCTATGACAGGGTCCACCACTCCAGCTGGCAATGCTGTCTTCTCTCCTTTGGTCTATGAACATTCTTCCATTCCTTCTAGCTCTGCTTGCTCAAACCCACCTCTTCCAGGCAACCCTTTCAGGCCAATTTGCCTGCTGTGTGACGAACACATCTAACTCAGCACAGAGCTCAGGCTGCTGGCGGCCAGGCAAAGCAGTGCAGATGGGGTTAGAGGACAGTAGGATAGAGAACGGCACATCTCTTGACATCTCCCTTGCTAACTCTGAGATAGCACAGCCAGAAGGAGTCCCCAGATGGGTGCAAGTGCCCACGGCCGTGGAAGGTGGCCCATTGGGCAGGTGGACAGGGAGAAGAGGGAGGGTGCCATGTGGTACTTACCATGCCCGCTGTCCAGGAGCTCGGTGAGGTACATGGCGCTGCAGGGAGACCAGGGCAGCGTCTTGTTCAGGTGTACGAAGAGTGGCGCCATCATGTGGTGCTTGCCCATGGGCCCGAAGAGCCGTGTGCATGGTTTTGAGTCATCGTGTGGCATACTGAGCACGTGTCCTGGGGAGGAGGAGGGAGATCCTGGTCACTCTTCCCAGCACCCACTACTCCCAGCCTGCTCTGTCCCACCCAGGGCTCCCTATAGAGCCCAGCAGTGGGGATGTGATCTTCACATTTCAGGCCTCACCCTGGCTTTTTTGCTCTTCCAGGAAGTTGGCATGGTGAGTGAGAAGCATCCCTTTATCTTCTATCCTAAAGTCACATTCCCCCATCACTTCCATGGTACTCTATAAATCGTCCTCCCTCTGGAGCCCACAACTCGTGGATGAGCTGGTCTCTCCACCCGTTCTCAGAGGCTCCAGGTCACTGGCTTAGGACACAGGCATTGGGCACAGGGTGGAGGTGAAGTTGTGTGCATCACCAAACATGGCATTTATTTATATCCGAGGGCACTTGAACAAGTTTGTGGAAAATTCAATTAAAAAATAACTTTATTTTGGTGCAAAGTCTTTCTGATGTTTTCATAGTACGCATTTTCCATGGGCTTTGTGAACATGCCTCAAAGAACCTCTCTGTGAAAATTCTGAACCATATTCTGCCAGCTCTACTTTTGGACCGGGGATGGTTTCCCAATGAAACTGTGGAATATGTCTGGACAATGAGATGCTGGATTCTCTGCTTGGTCCATACCCGTAATGAAGAAATCATGATTGGTTATGATCTGTACTACTGTAACAATATGGAGGAATTCAGTATGGGGGGAAGGTTTGGGAAGGGGTTAGGGGAATCCCAGAGCCTATGAAACTGTGTCATAAAATGAAATTGAAAAAAAATTATGAATCAAGCTGTCGAATCAGGGCTGCCTGTTGTGGAGGTCCTGGGATCCCTGCTACCTGGAAGGGAAACTTCACCCTTGACATGGTGAAGCAGATATCTGCAGAGCACAACTTACCCAGCTCGTGGGCCAGTGTGTAGGCAGCCTGGAGCCCCTCGTCCTCGATCACAGAGCAGCTCTTGTTGGGGTCACAGATAGTGCCGATGTCCGCCACACCCAAGGTGTCACACAGCCCTTCCTTCCCACAGAAGTTCTGCTTGGCGGACGGAGTGAGAGAACAGCAAGTGTATGCATGTCACCAGGGTGCAGGCCATGGGGACAGAGCCAGGTGTCAGTGTGCACGTGGCATCGTCACCTTTAGACATCCACCTACCAGGCTGAGTGTCACCCCTGTTTAGTGAATTTCTTAAAGACATACTTCCATTTGATTTGACAAGAGCAGAGAGAGAAGGAGGGAGAGAGAGGGAGAGAGAAGGACAGACAGAGAGAGGAAGAGAGAGATCTTCTATCTGCTGGCTGACTCCCTAAATCCCTCCAACAGCCAGGGCTATGCCAGGCTGAAGCAGGAGCTGAGAATTCACTCTGAGTTTCCTGTGTGGGTGGAAGGGCTCCCAGTATGGAGCAATCACGGTGCCTCCCAGGGTGAGCATTAGCAGAGGCTGGCATTGGACCTGGAGTCAGGACTCCAACCCTGGCCCTCTGCTGCAGGCTGTGCATGTCCCAGCTGCTGTGCCCAAGTCTGCCCCTGTGGAGTGTTTAAGCAGCAGAAACTCCAACAGGGTTCAGCAGCTTGTCTGCAGGTTGAGCCCTTGTGGCCTTGCGCTGCTGGCTTCTGTCCTGTTTATGACCAAGTCAGCTCCTCACCTTCCTATAATGGAGAGTGACTTGTGAAATTTACATTTGTTTAAAAAAAAAAACACTCAAAGAAAACTCCTCTCCCCAAGACTGTTGAGATGGATTTCTGAGTGACAGAGAACAATACATGACTCCCCATCTCCTCACAGGCTGGCCGCGGGACTTGGCTGGGACTTCTGATGCTGGCTTTGGGGAGGCAGCAAGATGGCCTGGGCTCTGCTACAGATGCCACTGCTGTGCAGCACAAGGGCTGTGTGGGTGCTCCGTGCCTCAGTTTCCCCAGCTGTGAAATGGAGATCACACCAGATCTCGCCTGGTGGTGATGTGGGAAAACCCAAGTAGTGCACAGGCTCTGGTCCGTTTTGTCCTACTCTCCCACCTTCGGCAATGTGTCCATGTGAGTCATGCCAGGAAGGGGCAGTGGGCAGTGTGACAATGTGGGAAGATCCTAAGGGGACCCCCTGGTAACCTGCTTCTGTTGAATAATCACCAAAGACAAGAACTGCTTCCTTGATTCAACTCCAGCCCTCTTCCTGGAAAGTTCAAGTCCATTTCCTCGGGCTATGACTTCAGTAGACAGCTGGTCATAAACTTTTGGAAAGCAGCCCCTACCAGATTCTTTTCCTTTCCTTGCAAATACCTCACACTTGTCCTCATGACCCCTCTCGTCACTCCCAACAAGAGGCTTGTGGCATCCAGCTGGGGCCAGCAGGGACATGGCTCCCATTTCCAGGCAGGCCTAGAGGCCCTCCCTTTGATCCACCCCCCATTTCTCTGCTGACCTGTCTAGTGAGCAGGATGGCCGTGTCGAAATGCTCTGGGTGCCGGTCGCTGGGCTGGTTGAAACGCCGCTGCCAGTTGCAGAAGTTGCGCAGGGTGAGGCCGCCGTTGTCCGAGACCTCTGGGCCCCATCTCTCGTCTTCTACTATCAGCACTTTGACCACCATCAGGTTGATGGAGTTCCTGATGCTGGGGTGCTTGTAGATGCGGGCGGCCACTGACATCAGCGTCAGGATGTGGTTCTGCCGGGAGGGAGGGAACAAGAGCGGAGCAATGGGTTCTCTCTCTTGGCCCTCAGTCTGCTGCCATGCCTCATTAGGGGCCACTGACCGTGTGCCAAGCTTGGGATGCACGCCTGGTATACAGCAGTTGGCTGAGATGTGTGGTCTCCTTTCATTTCACACATGCGGAAGCCGAGGCTTGGGATGGGCCCCAGGTCCTAAAGCCATGTGGGTGCAGGGCCACATTGATGCAGAATGTGTGGCTCTAGAGTGAATGCCCATGTGGCTGTCCTGCCCCAGGGATCTCTTGCAGTGGCCTCCTTCCCTGATTTTTCAGCAGGGGACAGAAAGGGAAGAGGCAGGCCTGCCTGGGGCTGGCAGTGTGGCTGGCTGAGCTGCTGCCTGCTTGCCTGCCTCACCTCTGCCTCACTCCCATGACTACCAGCTCCCATAAGGCTCTTTTTCTTCTGTGATCTGGAAAGTGGGTGTGGAAGGAGAACAAGACAGGGACATTCCTGCGGGGAAGGAAGCCCATTATTTGTGAATGGGATCTGTCTGTTCACCTCGTGGGCTACAAGCCAGGTATTTTTGTCAGTCCTACAAATGGGTTGGCAGGGTACTAAGCCCAGGTTACTTAGCATGTCAAGCACTCCAGCTATGTTTAGGCTGATGTAAACGCCTTATCAGCAGGACTGAAACTTGGCACTGGCTTCTGGAGTTGTATTCCCAAGGGAGAAAGAACAATCCCATCATTATGCAATTGGGAGTGTGTGCCGAGGGATGGTAGCTTGCTGGGGCTAAGTCCTGGCCAGGTCTGAACTGCTTCTGGAGGGTGGGAGAGGACAGGAAAGAGTGAGAGCCAGCATCTGATGGCTCCAAGACCCAGTGGCAACCTCTGCCACTGTCCTGCCTAGACTGCCTGCTGATGAGTCTGACAGTGGAGGAAGACAAAGTTTTACAAAGGTGAGAAGCTGAGAGCTGCCAGCCACTGGGCTGGCTCAGGTCAGACTGAAACATAGTGACAAATGAAGTAACAGGAATGGCTTCTATGAAAACTAAAAAGAGATGGTGTCTGTGGACTGCTGCCTGAAAGTCATGATGGAGCAGAGAAGTTTTTGGCACCAAGGATTCTGGCACTAAGCTCACGTGAGCACCTTCTCAAGGCCCCACCCAGCTGTCTGGCTGAGCCTACTCCAGAACACTGAGCTTCAAGGCCACGGGTTGGACTTGAGGACACCTGGAGGTCTTCCTGGCCACTGACCATTACAGAAGATAACCTGCATTGTGAGAGGGTTGCAAGGATTCCATGGTCCAATGAACCTCAAATTCCAGCAGCTGCGGTGACTCCTCTGGTCTCTCACCTCTCTGAAAGGCATGGCTGCCTCCAGCATCTTCCCCTCTAGTTTGTCTCTGCTGAGAAACAGCACCTCTGGGCCTGGGAACCTCTGATTCTCCACCAATCCCCTGGGCTCACAGGGCAGGCCTGCCTTCTGGTCCTGCGGAGCACAGGCTTGGGAGCTGGTCAAGAGAAAGGTCAGATGGCTTGTGCTACCATCTGGTGTCTATTTATACCTCCCTACGCAGGCACAGGCGCAGGCTGCCACTGCTGAAGAATGTGAATGAGTTCCTGCCCCCTGTGGACTGGGAGGGATCCAGCTTAGTAGGGAACCTCCACAAATATGGATGCCTCTGGTCGGTCAGCCAGCGGTGGCTGTAGAATCCTTCACTGCTCTTGAATAACATGGAGATCTGGCGTCTCTAGCTTCTGTTAGGGAAAGGTAGCATTTTCCAAGGGGTCTACTCCTCTATTGGTGTGCCCAGGACCTGGGAAGGAGACAGATGCCCAGGACAGCTGGGATGTAGCTCTCTTACTTCCTGAAGACACAAACAAGAATTCACCTCCCCAGAGCTCCCCCTGGTAGCTGAAACCAGCCATGATGGGAGGCTTGGGGCTGGGCCTGGCCCGGATGCATTTCTGGCAGTTTCTTCTCCCCTCTAGGCTGTCACCTGTTGTGTTTTGCCCACCTGTAGCCTTAGCACACCAGAAGCCCTGCAGCTCTTCCTTGTGCCGTGCTCTGGGAGGACAAGAGAAGATTGACAATAGGAAAACTGGGACCTGAGTGCCTGGCACTGTTGATCTTCCCTCCTGCCAGCTCTGTAGGGCTGAACCTGTTCTATAGATTAGGGAGAGGCCAGGGGATCGCAAAGAAGTGGGAGTGGAACAGAGGGATCTGCATAGACACTTTTATCTGTCCTTGTTACTCTCTACACAGCAAAGGGTGATGACACCCCACCAAAGACCACACCTACAGGCTCAAGTACTCAAAGCATGGCTGGCACCCTGATGGTGGTGGTCACACTGACCTCCCCACGCCAACAGATGGCTTCCACCGCTGGAGTTTCCTTCAGGTGATCTGCTGTGCATCTACTATGTTCTGGGCACCAAATCAGGTGCTTTCCATATTTTGTTACATCCTTGAGGCAATGCTGGCAATTGGATATTCCTGCTCCTATTTTGCTGGTGAAGAAGCTTGGATACAGAGAAGCAGGTTAACTTGCTCTACAACTCAGTCATTTCTAGTTTGTTTTTCCAAAGCTTATGCCCTTGATCGCTACCTGCCATCTTGGCAGCTATAAGAAAACCACAACCTCACCAAACTGAGCTCCAAGCACACAAATAAGCAAGAAGCCCCAGTTCCAGCCTGGACATGGCTCATCTTTTGGGAGGGGGAGGGAACCACATTTGGATATTAAGGCGTTTTCTTTCAGAAACATTTCCTATCTGATCATTGGAGGTGTACTGCAGTAGCACTCATCCACTCATCTTTCACCCATGAAGACTCAGAAAATGACAGAGGTGGCAGACAGGTGTCTGTTAGCATCCAAACCAGGGACATTCTTGTTGGTGAAAGATGATAGTCTTAACACTTACGCCAGAGCAGGTATAAACTGGGATTGTAGGGGCGAAGTAGGCTGTCTGGGCACTTTAGTAATTGACTATCTTGCGGGAGACGGTTTCCCCAGAGAACTCAGGCTGAGGGCAGATGAGAGGAGATGGCCAAGGCAGCCCTCCCTGGGAACAGCCCCTTAACAATGCTTCTGCCTGCTTTGGGGAAGGGCAGTGCCCCTGCCTTTGAGGGCTGTCTTCTTGGAGGAGACTGGTGGGATGGGGTTTCCCAGGGCATGTGTGGGGCACTGCTCAGTGAGACGCTTCCTCCAGGGAATATTTATTTAGCAGTGGCTGGATTTAGAGTTAATGGACTCTTCCAAGGTGGTCCCTCCTTTCAAAAAGCCCCTTTTGTGTTAGCTCCTCAACTCTGACACCTGATAAGAAGGTGGGCGGCAGGAGTCCCTTTTGTAAAGGGATTAAGTCAGCTGGATGGAGCAGACTTCTGGAAAACTTGACAGTTGCCCAGCAGCCTCCAAGCACAGTTAATTCTCTTAGTCTAGAAGGCCCCTACGGTCTCACACTTTGGCTGCAAGTCTTGGGCTTGCTCCATGACAGACTAGTGCTGGTGGGTAAACAGAGGCATGGACCCTTAGCACAGGAAGAAGGTTGCATGGTGCAATAACAAAGAGACGTGGCCGTGGACTCAGGCTGGTGAGGCTGGGCATGCAGATTCTGTCGCCTAGGAGCTTTGTGACCTCGGGGGTGCCTGCTGTGAGCTGTTTCCCCTCTGCCTCTCTCACATTTGTTTGCATTGAGGCAAAGCCTGCAAAACTGCTCTGTAAACTGTAGACACTCAGAGGAGGTGAATGTTCTGGAACACTGGCTCACCCTGGACACTTGGAGTAGAAGTGGTTACCTGGGCCTGGCACGGTGGCCTAGGAGCTAAAGTCCTCACCTTGAATGCGCCGGGATCCCATATGAGTGCCGGTTCGGTTCTAATCCTGGCAGCTCCACTTCCCACCCAGCTCCCTGCTTGTGGCCTGGGAAAGCAGTCGAGGACGACTTGGGACCCTGCACCCGTGTAGGAGACCTGGAGGAGGTCTCTGGCTCCGGATCTGGATGGGCGCAGCACCGGCTGCTGCACTGACTTGGGGAGTGAATCATCGGACGGATGATCTTCCTCTCTGTCTCTCCTCCTCTCTGTATATCTGCCTTTCCAATAAAAATAAATAAATCTTAAAAAAAAGAGAAGTGTTTACCTGGCCGAGGGGTCCTGCTATGACATAAGGACATCTAACCTCTAGAGGGAGCAGAAGTTCTCTGCATCACAGTCACACTTCTCCCTCCAATTACTAAAACACCCCCAAGCACTTTCCACCTATAGGAGTTGAGCATCAGAGACTGACTGCAGTTCTCTGCAAAGTGGTGGCTTCTTTCTGGAGAGCTGCAGGAGTCAGGTGTAGACAGGGCAGCCCTTTGGCCATCAGCTCTTAGTTTTCATTTCTCTCTTGACTGAGTTTCCCAAGGAGACTGAATGAAGTTCAAACCTGTTCTGCTAGCATCTCCCTTTGAGGCTGGTTAGAGCCCACTGCCAGGAGTGAAGGGTGTGTGTGTGTGTGTGTGTGTGTGTGTGTGTGTGTGTGTGTGTGTGTGTGTGTTAGAGAGAGAGAACGCGCCAGTGAGCTAACAGTCCCTCCTTTATCCCAGTAGGTGGCAGCAAACACGCAGGTGGCAGGACTGGTCCAGCTGAGAGAAGATTGCCAAGTAGATGCCCGAGGAAGGACCTCAGCCTTTACAGCTGTCCAGCACCTGTTCTCATGAGCCCTGCCAGTGAGCTGGTTGGATCCACAGGGTGCCTGTGAGGTAGTGAAGGGTCCAGACATATGAGTATGTGCAGGTTGGGTAGGGGTGGGGGCAAACATGAGCCAGGCAGTTCAGCCAGGAGTTCCATGAGGATAGAAGTATTCCACATGGTTTTGCCAACTTGCCTGAAGCAGTGAGCCCAGATCCCAAGCTGGAGTGAAGAAAACCTAGTACAAAATCCAGCTTGGCCTCCTACCATCACTGTCCCAGGGCCCTGAGCCTGGCACCCAAGTATGTTGTGTGTCTAAATAGCCATGAGTTCTGGAGATGCTGGTGTGTCCTTGAGGCAAACACAGTGTCAAGGGGATGAGTTTAGAGATGAGACAATGGGCCAGCCCCGGGGACAGCATTTGGACTGAAAAGCTAACTTTTGCTGCTGTGCTGGTTGGCTGCCTGATTTTGCTTCCAAGGTATAAGCTGGGGCACATCATCCCAGCTCTGGTATGCAATGAGCATGTCTGCCTCCTTTTGGTGACTGGCATAGTGGTCCCAAGGTCTTGATGAAACAAGAGAAGCCTCCTCTCCCTCCTCTCCTGCTACCCTCGAGCACTTCTTCAGTAAAAGTCAGATGAAGTAGCTAGTGCCTCTCCCTGCTTCTAGGGTAGGCAGGAAGTAAATATTAAAACTCACATGGCAGACTGCCCTGCCAGCTCAGAGATGCCTCTCAGTGCCTTGAGACAAACAGATTCCAGCAGGGCCAGCGGGGAGCCGGCTATCCTCTAACAGCCCATTAGGGGACAGAAGAGCAGCCACGTGGACCTTCATCTGCAACATCTCCCCACTCCCCATCTGTTTGTCAAGCATCTTCTCCACCCTGCATTTCCTGGTGATACAGAGCAGGTGAGCAGTGGACCACTATGCACAGGTAAGGATGTTGCTCTTGGAGCTCCCAACAGGTGGTCTCAGCCTGAGCCTTAGAATGGAGTCCTGGTCCACAGATGCCATTGAAGTGCTAGCTAACCGGCTGCTGTCCCGTTTCAGGGACCCTGATCTCTGTGCAGGTCCTGGTTCTCCCTTCCGTAACAGAAAGGAAATGGCACTCTGTCCTGGCACCCAGCCCCTCTTTCCCTCCGGGGAAGACTTTGCCTGCTCTTTCGAGGGGGTGTTGGGGCTTAGGAGGACAGGGACACCTCCTGTCTTTTCAGCACCATCTTGGCATCTCGTCAGCCAGTCTGGCTTCAGCAGCCATCCCCGGATACAGGGGCTACAGCTGGGCTGAGCACTGAGTGCAGGCTGCCGGCAGCCGGTAGACCAGGAAAGGTAAGTAGATCTTTGGCTCCTGCAGAGTCAGGGTAACAAGAGCACATCTCACCCCTCTGCGCTCTCTCTCCTTTGCACTGATCCCAGGCAGAAATACTGTTTCCCTCTCAGCTTGGGCTGGATGCTGGCACTGCCAAGTTGTGCTGGGGCTGTGCGCCAGGTTGGCGAGGTAGTCCCCACCCCTTGATCAGAACCAGCTGGGCACACAGAAGTTGAGCAGCCCCTTTCCAGGTTCAATGCCCTGGGAACGATGTCTTTTAGGTAGGGTAACCTCAGTTCTGAACTGAAAGGGAGTCAGCCACGTTTTTCCATGCCCACTGCCTTTCCTTGAGAACCTGAGATTCGGAGTCGCGGTGGGCTAGGGAGAGGGGTGGGGTGGGTGCTCTTCTAACGTGTTCCGTTTCCATCTCTTGGGAAAAGCAGGTGCCTGGGGCACACGGTCAGTCCGCTTTCAGCGCTGCTGACCCCGGCCAGGTGCTGCAGGGGACTCGGCATGAGAGGGCTGCGGGGAGGAGCAGAGGGAACCTGCGGTAGCACCTCCTCTCTGTATGGGAAGGCACGGGGGATTGGACCAATAGAGGAAGACACTTCGCTGGCTGTCAGAAAGGAGGGGATGTCGCTCTGGAGGACTCCTTTTCTGAGGGGTTGGGGAAAGAAGCATTTAGAGATGAAAGAGGCATCAGGAGACCTCCGCAGGTGCTTCGGGGAGCCTACCTGTAGGTCGGTGCCATAGAAGGCAGCCATGGATGCGTCGGCTACCAGCAGCGTTTCCACGAAGCGAGCTTCAGACACAAACCGTTTGGTCCTGCTTGTGGCCCCCAGAGGCGGGGGCAGCTCGCGGGCGCTTTCTGCGCCTTCTTTGGCCACCTCCTCCTCTTCCTCCTCCTCCTCCTCTTCCTCCTCGGCCTCCTCTTCCCTCTCTTCGCCGGCTCCCCTCTCCAGTCCTCGGCCCTTTGCGGTTTCCGCCTCCCACTCGGGCTCTCGACTCGGGGCACTGGCCTCGGCGGTCGCGGCGAGCCCGGGGTCCTCCCAGCGCTGCAGGAGGTGCGGCTGAGCCAGGGAGCTCCCTGAGCCCTGAGGCTCGATGGTGAACTCCTCCCCATCCAGCAGGAAAGAGCCGCTCAGCCCGCGGCACAGGCTGACGGCCACCAGGGACTCGGGTTCCCCATTCACCGTGCCGGAGAAGAAGCAGCTTCGCAGCCCTTGCTCGTCCCCGGCCACCCCACCAGTGCCCCCGAGCCTCTCGATCTTGAACTCGGGTGCCAGGAAGCTGGCGTCCGGCGCCAGGCGCAGCACGAAGCCCTTGCCGAAGGCGGACAGGTGGAGCGCGAGCTCGCCGGCGCTGCCGGGCAACCGCGTGGGCACCACCAGCTCCGAGGCCTGACCCCCAGCCCCGGACCGGGTCGGGGCACCGCGTGCGAGCTGTAGCGGCGGTGGCAACAGCAGTGGCAGCAGGAGCAGGAGAGGCGGCCACCGGGGGGCGGCGGCGGGGAGCATTGGGGACAGCGGCTGCGGCGCGCGCGCAGGAGAGAGAATGAGCCCGCCCGGCGTGGGCAGGTGCTGGCGGAGCGAGTGCGACTCGGCCGCTCTCTCCGGGGAAAAAAAAGAGAGAAGAGAGAGGGGGAGAGAGAGAGAGAGAGAGAGAGAGAGAGGGAGGGAGGGAGGGAGGGAGAGAGAGAGAGAGAGAGAGACTCTCGGCTGCTGGGCCGGCTCGGCGACCGCGGTCCCCTGGCGGCCCCTCTCGCTCGCGCGCCCGCTGCGCCCGCCCCGCCGAGTGCGAGCAGCTGGCGCCCCGGGCCGCGTGCGCTCGTCCTCCGCCCCTTGCCGCTCCGGCCCGGCGCAGCCTCCTCCTGCCGGCCTCCTCCCCGCTCCGGGAAGCACCGAGTGGGCTGCCGAGCCCTTCGTATTTATACTTCCTTCCCGGCTTTGACATAAGAGGTTTATTTTTGATCTCTCACTATTCCTGTTTCCCCTCCCCTGGGATCAGGGAGAGGAGCTGCAAAGAGGGAGAGACGGAGGAGGGAGGGGGGGAAAGGGATGAAATGTAAAACCAATCAGGAGACCCGCCCCGGTGGAGTGTTAACTGCAGCTTTCCTCTTCCCTTTACACCGACCCATGTTAACTCCTAAGGCGCTGGTCTAGCCCTTCACCCTGGGGTCACGGGGGCCGCTCCATGCTCGGAGGCCACATGCCTCCCAGGGACTCCTGCGTGACAGCCTCAGGACAGTTAGGAACCCCGCAGCCTCGCCCCCGGTGGTTAGTCCGCTGAGAAGATTCTCTAGCTTTCCATAGCAGAGTGCAAGGAACGAGGTGCGAAAGAGCATACTAAAGTCGTGCTTGCACTGTTCAGCGTTCCTAACTCTCACTTGAGAACTGGAAGGGTGGGGGGTCGGGATAGGAAATGAAGCTGTTTGGTCAATTCCCCAAGGATGGAGGTGATGGAGGGTTGGTGGTACATGGGGAGGCACCTGCGGTAAAGCAAGTGGAAACCTTGCCCCAGGCAGACTGGCTGCGGTATTGTTGAGTTGGCTGTGATGACCTCAATGGAAGGTGTCAGGTCTCTTCTCACTGATGGCCACAGCTCCACCAGTATCTGTCACCTGATCAATTCTGCTCCACCACCACCTTCCCCTGGGCAAGACAGGGATGCTCTGGTGTCCAGGCCACAGGCCTGTGGATTGGATTGAGTCCTGTTCCTTGGAGTGGGGGTTCCAGACTCTCCAGCCTGATGTCTGAGCTGGCAGTGTGGAGTGGGAGGACCCGTTGAGATGCCTGGCATTAGGAACCCATTCCCTTGCCAGCTGCCCTGTGCCAGCTCCCCAGATCTCAGCTGCCACTGCAGGGACTGCCAGGTGGGGTCATCTGCATTTCTTTTCCACCCTCCTGACCCCTCCTTGCAGCAGGTGTGGGAAACACTCAGGGCTTGCTGCCTCCGAAGGGGAGCCTCTTGGGTGACAAGCACGCTTTTGTGACCACGAAGCCAGGAAAGCCCTGTGCAGTTGCCTCCAAGTGTCCGTCTGCTTTCCGAGAAGCACATAGGCATAGCTGTGAGCCGGGCAATGACCTTCCCAGCCCAGTGGGCACGGCCTCTCTTTTCCTGCCTGACTGGCAGGATGGGAGTGACCTGGACACAGAAGCTTCAAGGGGGCACATCCAGAGACAAGGAGAGCTGGTGGAGGGGAGGATCGCTCTTTCAGTTCTCCAAAAATGAGCAAAGCACAGCTGTGGAGGCCTTGGGACAGTCTGACCTGGGCAGTCAGTGAATAACGGCAGCTGGCCTCAGGAGTGTTGTGACATCTTAACTGGGGCTGTTTGCCTTCTGGAAACCCCTTCTCCAGCATTTCCAGGGTCTAACTCCTGCTCTTCATCAGTGGATGCTTTTCCTGCTCTCTGTTTTGTAAGCATGAGGAGTGGCACTGAGATGTATGCTCAGGTTCTTTCTTCTCCCTTGGATGCACACCGATGGCTGCAAGTGGGAGATCTAGCCAGACAGGCAAAGTCTGGAACATCTGTGAGTCCTCAGCTAGGCAGGATTGGGCACGTGCCCCTATCCCCATGACAGCCTTTCGAAAGTTCCCTTTGGAAAGCGAAGTCAGAGAGTGAACCCTGGACTTACCCTGCCTTGTTTCAACAACCACATCAATGACAGCAATGATGGCAGGAGTGACTGCAGCTGCCAGCTGGGTGACCATCCTGTGAGCCGGCACAGCCAGCCCTCCCTCATGCTTCCCTACAAGTGAGTGGTGTCTTGCTGGTAACTTGCAAGGCGGCACCTGTCATTTGCAATGCAACCACAAGGTGTCAGGCTTACCCTAGTTTTGCTGAAATCCAGCATGGGATCCTTGTCCTGCCACACAGGGTGACTGGTTTGTAGTGGGATTCCTTAGAGGAAAGGCAGATGACAACAATAAGGCAAAACAAACACCATCAAGCCAACCAGAGCCCCACAAAGGCATTCTGCCAATTCTGAATTTCCCACATGACCGCTTTCTCTAAGTATATAATTACAGTAAGGTTTGGCACATTATGGACCACGAACTATATCCTGCACACAGCCCATTTTTGTATAATACTCAAGACTTCTATATATTTTAAGATGATAATTTAACAAGCAGTGGAAACTATGAATATTTTGTGACAGTTGGAAACGATATGGAATTCACATTTCAGTGGCTGTCAATATCAATATAATATATTGGAATGCAGCCTCAGCCACTGGTTACTACTTGGCTGCTTCAGCTGGGAAGGGTTGAATGAACCTAAAATATTTACTATCTGGCTCTTTGAAAAGAAAGTTTGCTGCCTCATGCATGTAAAGTGGCATTAGTTTAGAGTCTTCGAGTTTGAGCTTGAGATTGTTTAAACTCAGTATTTAAGTGTGTGAGGACACCTCACATAGTTTGTGGATAAATGGTAAAATATAAAGTTACTTTGGTGTGAACTAATTTGAAATTCATGCATAATATTTTCATAATTTGCATTTCCCAGATACTTTATGAATATTGCTTGTGATAAAAAAAAACATTTATTTATTTTAGAGACAGAGTTACAGAGAGAAGGAGACACACAAAGACACACAAAGAGAGAGAGAAAAAGAGAAGAAAGCAGGGCTGGAGGAGGGGAAGAAAAAGAGGGAGAGAGAAAAAGAGGGAGAGAGAGGGAGAGAGAGAGAATAGGGAGAGAGAGAGAGATGGAGGGGAAGAGAGATGGAGGGAGGGATGCAGGGAGAGAGAGGGAGGGAGAGAGACGGAGGGAGAGAGAGGGAGGGAGAGGGAGAGAGAGAGACAGAGAGAGAGAGACAGGGAGGGAGGGATGGAGAAAGAGAAGGAGGGAGAGAGAGAGAAGAGGGAGAGAGAGGGAGGGAGGGAGAGAGACAGAGGGGCAGAGACAGAGGAAGGGAGGGAGTTAGGAGAGAAAGGAAGGAGAGGGAGAGAAGGAGAGACAGAGGGAGAGAGAAAGAGAGAGAGGGGGAGAGGGAGACAGAGGGATAGCAAAAGAGAGAAAGAGAGACAGGGAGACTCTGCGCCTATTTTTGCACTTATTTGGTTCCCAAATGTCTGCAGTGGCTGGGACTGAGTCAGGCTGAAGCCAGAGCTTACGCCTCCATCTCTGTCTCCCATGTAGGTGACGGGGGCCCAGGCACTCAGGCCATTTTCCACTGCTTTTCCAGGTGCATTACCAGTGAGCTGAATTACAACCAGAGCAGCTGCCATCAGAGCTTGCACTCATATAGGATGCCAGCTGTGCTTTAACCCTTTGCACCACGGCATCGACCGTGCGTATGGTTGCAATGAAATAAGAAGCTCAAAATTATTTTTTACTCTCAATAGTAATGAAGGAATGTTATGAAATTTGAAATATCTTTGCTTTGTCTTCATAGCTATAAGGCTTTTGTATTTGTGAGCATTCTATTATAAATTTTGAGTTTGAATTATATGATTAGTACCTGGTTGTACTTCAGCATATGTTTTTAAAGATTTATTTGTTTGTTGGAAAGTCAGATATACAGAGAGAAGGAGAGACAGAGAGGAAGATCTTCTGTCCAATGGTTTACTCCCCAAGTGAGCACAACGGCCGATGCTATGCCGATCCAGAGCCAGGATCCAGGAACTTCTTCTGGGTATCCCACACGGGTTCAGGATCCCAAAGCTTTGGGCTGTCCTCGACTGCTTTCCCAGGCCACAAGCAGGGAGCTGGATGGGAAGTGGAGCTGCCGGGATTAGAACCGGCGCCCATATGGGATCGTGGGGTGTTCAAGGCAAGGACTTTAGCCACTAGGCCACACCGCTGGGCCCCAGCATGTGTTTTTGATGTGTATTCGGTTCTGGCGTTCCCTTGAGTTCCAGAACATGATAGTGGAAGAAATGTCACACTCCTCTAACAGAACGTTTATAGAAGCAGCCAAAATGCAGATGTTTCAGTGAGTTTAAGCCCCACGACCAGAGGTACATTGGTTTCCCAAACTACTGCAGAACCCTTTCCATGGTAATCAGTTTCGCCTTCAAGTTTCCTTTGTAATTCATACGTTTTCAACAAGATCCAGAGCCTATTATGGGCTGATCATTGCTCAAAATAGTTATTTTTTAAATTAATTTTCATCAAATGCTCTGTAATAATAGCTTCCACTTTTAAGGTCCTTGATGTGGGCCAGGAACTAGGGTGAAATGCAGCAAACCTCATCTCATGACAGTCCCCGAAAACTGCATCTCATGGCTGAGGAAACCGAAGGGAGTTAGGTAACTTGCTTGGGTCACTCAGCCAGTAGATGGTAGAGGTGGGCTTCTTAACCAAGGTCCAATTCCTAAGCTGCTCACCACACATGATATTTTCTGGTGAGAGCGCCATCTGCTGAGTGTTCTATGAGTGGCACCAAGGATTGCATCTTGGCATCCGCAGAGCAGAAGGAACTACAGCAGGTCACCAGGCCTGTCCTCCTCTCCAAAGAAGGAGTGCGGCCCTTCTTTAAAGATCTCAAACAAGGGAATAAGCCGCTTCTC